CACGTTTTATAAGGATACATTTGGCAAGCTGCATCTATGGTTCAGGTATGGATGTTTTAAAGAGTAGTAAGTGTGTGTTAATGACTTGCTTGATCTAATGATGTTTTTATTTATAGGAGAGTTTGTCAGCCACTGTTTTCTTTACCTCCATAACAAATTAATGATTTAGTGTTTGTTGTGTGTTAATTGGACGCAGCGCTCAGTGAGTGCGTCGAGATTTTGTACACCAGCACCTGCCTTTGTCCTTTAATTAGGATATGCATGTTATTAATAGTTTAATCAGGCATTTGTCCATTTCTGAGCACGGTAAGGCACCTGAAGGCCACACAAGTAATCTAAACTTTTTAGCACAGAAAGTTATTAAACTAAATAGATTCAAGTAACCTTTACTTAAAGGTGACATATCATGAAAATCGTCTCAGGTTACGTATGTAACCCTAGTTCCTCGAGGGAACGAGACGCTGCGTCGAAAACGCTAGGGGAACGCCTTCTGCGACCCACGCTCTGAATCACATGTGAAATCAGTCCAATAGCTGAACGGGACGTCACGGCGGATGACGTCATGACCAGGAAGCTATAAAAGCACGTGCGGCGGAGCCAGCGTCAGCTTCTAGGAATGAAGCAAGCGCCGGCAGGGACGCCGGAAGTATGGCACAGAGACGCAGCGTCTCGTTCCCTCGAGGAACTAGGGTTACATACGTAACCTGAGACGTTCCTCTTCAGGAACTCGAGCTGCGTCGAAAACGCTAGGGGAACGAGAATGCCCACGCCGCCAGACTTCCAAGTCTCTGCCTATTTAGTGTGTTTTGTGTCTTAATTAGACGCAGCGCTCCGTGAGCGCGTTGAGAAACGTGAAGGGGGAGAGATTTTTCTTGTGTTCCTTTTGTAGTTTTCGTTTGTATTGTATTTCTTTGGGAATTGTATTTTAATTTTATTTGGGTATTGATGGTACAACGGTACAATTCACAGGTAATGGCATTGAGCAATATGCAATAATACCCTTTAAAGTTTATCACAGAAGTGTGCTGATTGCAGTGTATCACGTGAAGGTGATTGCTTAATTTGTAGTGTGATTATCTGCTTGTGGATTGGAGTAACTTATTGTGTGTAGTGGGTTTTGTATTTAAAGGGTTTATGACCTGCCTTGCCTGTGTACACCACAGTATACCCCTTTTTTTTACCTGTCATGTTGTGAAATGTCTTGGCATTATATGCATATGCAAGTGTAATAAGGAATAAAGTTATGTTTTTTGTACACCAGCACCTGCCTTTGTCCTTTAATTAGGATATGCATGTTATTAATAGTTTAATCAGGCATTTGTCCATTTCTGAGCACGGTAAGGCACCTGAAGGCCACACTTGGAATCTTAACTTTTTAGTACAGAGCTGTGTGAGATCACTACCATCCTGCTTTTGTGGGGGTGGGTAGGGGTGTTCAATCATTTTTTTTGTTTTTTTTTTTCCCCATAGGTTTTTAACATTCTAAAAGCTCTTTATATCAAATATACTACAAGCTAGTCAGTGTATTCGGTAGGTGTAATGTATTCTAAGTTGCTTCAGAAGTATTGTAAGTACTACGTACAACAATAAAAAATATGTGCATTGACATAAGAAATGTACTTTTGGTACTTAAGTACTTTTAAAAGCAAGTACTTCTGTACTTTTACTTAAGTAAAAATCTGTCTTTACAACTTTTACTTGTAATGGAGTAATATTTGACCAGCAGTATCTGTACTTTCACTCAAGTAATGGAGTTGAGTACTTTGTCCGCCTCTGGTCACTATGAGAATTTTCTGTTGACTAAAGTGAAATGTTTAAGGACAAATTGCTCGTGAAACTAGAAGCAATTAATCAAAGAACCCAAAATATTCATAATATACAATGCCGGGTTTATGGAAAACTCGATTAGGAGGCAAGCTAGAGAGGGAATAACACAGTATATTTTAAATTAATTAAATTAAAACTATTTAAGTACCTCAAACTAATTCAGTAATTAAAATACCCATGTAAGTTATTTTATACATTTACAATACAGAATTGCAAATAAGTAAATAAATGCATAAAAATAACCTAGCTTTGTTTTGATTGGGCATTTTTAATGTGTTGCGGTGTTCAATGTGGTTGCATACAGGCTAAAGTCAAAAGTGCAAAATCTCTGTGATATTCAAGTACCAACATTGTTTGACTTCAAACAGGTTTCCAGAACACTTCCCCATCCGCCATTGGTCAGCCTCCAAACTCACACCATTGGCTGAGCCAGTGTCACTATGTTGGGCTGAGCTGCTTAAACAAATAGACCGATGTATACTGCCATAGAGACAAATCAGTCTGCAAATGCTTTACTCACTTGACTGCATATTAAAAAGTATTTTAACATTGAAAACTGACACACTTTGACTTTAAAATAACTTATAGCAAACCAAGGCAATTTGATTTCTCTCCAAGCACCATAACACGGACTAACACTACCCAGAGCACCTCAGCTGCAACAGCTGTTACAGAAGCTGTCCAGATACTGACACAGATCAATGGAGAGAACATGAACACAAGAGCCATGGAGCCAGAGACTTCCCGCTGATTTGATTACAGACTTTCCATCACTCAAAGAGCCACCGTTCTGAAGCAACATCAGTGCATCTACACTTGAATGATGGTCATGCGATATTATCAGCCAGACACGCTGCAAACCAGTGCAGACAATGGAATCATTATGGCTGCAGGAGTCTTTTACTGAGAGCCTTAAACTTCTGTATTACCATAAACAAGTCTTTAGGGAGGTGTTGAGAATGTACACTGAAAAAAAAGTGCTCATAAAAAGAGGGTGAGGCTTGTATGGTCTTAGTCTTACAGTTTGACAACACAATCAAATGAAAAATTCATGATGTCCATGGTTGCTCTGCTGTGCATCAGATCGATAGCACAGTAATAGCTGGCATATCTGAGACTTGCTTGGCAAGGTTCCCTCTTTTTGATAAACTGTGCCATGTTAATGGGCATACTGAGTTACTGTCCTCTTTCTGCTTGAAGATGATTTCTATCTAGCATACAGATATACAGTAGCCTACAGATTTGTGCACATATCACATATGTGATACAGGAGATTCTTGTCCCAGTTGTCTGATCCTGTTACTTCTTCCAGCTAAACATGATTCGCTTCTGCTCTGTGTGGTCTGGTGGGACTCCAAATTTAGTCCAAGTATTTGATAGAACCAGTAAAATTCTGGTAATTCATGGGGCAGGAAGGTTATAAACGATGCTATCTGCCAAGTGATAAAATTCACTGTAAGAATACATTTTGAAATGATAAATAGAAGTAAATTATGCTAAAAAAATGTCAATTATTTATTGTAGCTTTTTGTTAATTTCTGGAATGCAAGTAATACATCTTTTTATTCTAACATACTTTTTTTTATAGGTCAAACCAACAATGACAGATAAGCTGGTAAGTAGGTCAGTTGAATTTTTTGTGGTTTTGTAGTCCTGTGTCCCCCTTCCCAACATGCACTGGAGCATAAATAATTATGGTTGTATTGTTTGACAGTTTGGCAGTTAATTTACACTGTAGTCACTGGTAATTAAATATATTGTAGTCAGGTTTTATAACTTATAATATTGTAATGTTGGGATATGTTTATTGCTTTACTTAAAATGATAAGTTAGTTGATTTTTGTGTTTCATGTAGCAAGTGTGGAATTGAAGATATTTTGAAGAATGTTGATAAACAAACAGTTGGTAGCCATTCACTTGGGGGGAAAAAATGCTATGGAAGTCAATGCCAGCAACTGATTGGTTAACATCATTCTTCAAAATATCT